GGGGGGGGGGGGGGGGGGGGGGGACTACTTAGCAGCTCTATTTGTTCCGCATTAGGTTCCGTTTCAGGCAGCATTTATTTGCTCCTTCCCGCTTCCAGTTTTCCCAAATTCATGCTTAATTAGTACACGCACTACAGCCCACCAATTCCACCATGGCAGTTTTTGCAGCTTTCCAACATTTTGGTTCTTTCCATTCTTGTGCAGCTGGACACACATCGGGCATCTCGGGATGAAGCCGGGCTTGGTTCCTGGGGCATCTCGGCCAGGCAGGTGGAAACAGGTGGTGGTCACCTATTTTCTTCCGAGATGTGAAAGCCCTGAGGCTAAAGAAATCGGCCAAAACAGGCACGGTTTTTCCAAGGCCTCTGTGCACTGAAAGCGCCTCCTTGCATCACCCGGGGGAGGCCGTTGAATTGCCCCCCTCCCTCCCTCCCTCCCTCCCTGTCAGTCTTGTCAAGGACATCTTCAGGTGGGACTTTCAAAAGGGAGGGGCCTCTTTTTCCAGCTTTGTTGTTTGATAACTAATGCAAGTCCCCCTGGGGTCTGAGCCCAGGAAATGGCCCCAGTGCCTCCTGCCCTCAGGCCAAACGCCACATGGCCCTGGTGGGTGTGGCCCAACTCCTGTGCCCTGTGCCACCCCTCGGCCCAGTGGGAGCTGATGCTGGGCCCTTCCGGGGCCAGGAGGTGGGTCTCTCTGCAGGCTGCCTGGGGCTGGTGGTGGTGGTGGTGGCAGCCAGCAGCTCTTTGGCCGAGAGGAGCTGGCTCTGGCAGAAGCAGATAGAAACCAACATTCATTTCTATGGAAACGCCAGAGAGGAGAGGACGAGGGGGGGGGCTTTGCTCGATCTGCTGCAGAATCCGGGGAGGCTGTTAGGCCTTTCGGGGTGTGTGTTTGGCTGTTTGTGTGTGAGCAGCTTCCAAGCTGGCTGAGAAGCTGCAGACGGAGAGGTTGGGCCCTGCGGAAGGTGAGCGGCAGGTGCAACAGGACGGCTTATTTTCTGTGGCTCTGTGGCAGGAGAACAAGCTAAGATTTAGATTTAGATTTCATGTGTTTCCTTTCATGCACCGGAGAAAAACTTAATAATAGGCAAAATAATAGGCAAAAAAAAAAAAAGCCCCACGGCACCGAATGATGAGTTACGGAATCATTAAGATTTTATGGAATAAACGCGAATAAATCTGGTCCAAGGAGGCTGGCAGGAGGGGAGATCCCTTCGGTAGCAATTGGGGGGCGACAATGGCCCGGCATTGCGTCTGACACAGGCCAAAAATTATGGAGGACCCCAAAAACCTTTCATTTTTTAAATTATTAAAATAGATGCGTTCATTGACACAACTGCATCTCAGGATTGTTTGATGGGATTTTAGTGTTGTGTTATTTTTCAGCCTTAAGTCTGACAAATCATTTTGGCCAGGTTGGCCTCCCTGGCACTCCAGGGGCATGAAAGCAGCTGGGTGATGCCACCTTTCTTGGATACAAATCCCCCCCCCCCCGCCCCGAAAGACTCCCTCGGATTGGTCCAACCCAGAGAAAGGGGAGGGGGCAGGTGGGTAAAAGAATAATCCCCCTCCCCTGAAACCAGGGGGGTGGATTAAGGCAATTATCCTGGTGCCCACCAGCATCTTCTCCGTGGCCGTTGAGGGCAGCTCCCTTCAATGGGGAGATCTGGGACAAAACCTGAACTTGATGTATTTTCATTTATTCTCAATGTAAGCTTAATTAAAATGGAATTAGCCAGCTATTGCGATGCATTTGATAATTTTCACTCTTGCATCCCATTAAGCACGGCCGTTTGAGGCAGCCTTGCGAGGATTGCACGCACTCACTCAGGAGAGGGGGTCCTAGGGACCCCCAGCCAGGACACACCCAGCCAGCGAGCAAGGGGGCAGTAGGGCTCACGGCACCCAACACGCTGGAAGCCAGAGAGAAAACGGAGCCGAGGGATGTGCCCTCCTTGTAGCACGTTGCGTGATGTGCACCATCTCCACCGGCTGCAACAGGTTGGCCATTTGGGCACCACACATCACAGGGACAGTCTTTCCTTGCACAACTTTTTGTTTTGGTGCCAGGCTGCATTTGCACAAGGGCTCATAACTTACACAAAACCCCAACCTCTGCACATTATGCAAGCGCAGCGGTGGGTCTTTCCTGACCGGGTTAAGCCTGTTGTGTGAACACTGCCACGCTGTGTTTTCCTGACTGACGTTTAGTGCTAGTGTGAAGCCAGACCCGGCATAGCTCTTCCTCGGGCATCCGAGAGCTGCACCGTCCTCGGCTGAATTGAGCCTGTTGTGGTTTATCCAAACCGAGGTGAGATTTGGTGGGCTTCCTTGCTTAAGACTCTCAGAAAACACAGATCAGGGTTACATTTAACTGGGTCTCACATGCTGCTGGTTGATGGCGTCAAGAGTATTTCGGTGGTAGCCCTCCTAAGCCAGGGGGGGGCATTTTCTTCCCCCTGCAAACAGACCCCCTTAAAGGCCAGGGGTTGTGTGAATCGGAGGGGAGGACTCTTTACAGCAGCAGCAGCTGTTCCTTGAGGACCCGCACCTTCCGGGCCAGCTGTGGCTCTCCCTCTGCCGGCCTCTGGCCCCAGGACAGGGAACCCCCTGCCAGCTACCTGGCATCTTGGCATCTTGCTGCCAAACACTGACTTGCCCTTTGCTAGCTGGCCGCTACAAACGCCAGGCGTTTACGGTATGAATTATTAGGACTGATTCTATGGGGAGGTGGGGCCGCCGGGCGGGGGGAGTGGCGGCCGCTGTTCCGCCCAGGCCGGAGGAGGGGCCTGGGCGGGGCGGGGCGAGCGGCTCCTCCTCCACCACCGCCCCTCCCGCCGCGCTCCCTCTCCCGCCGCCTCCCGCCCCGGCCGCGCTTCTACCAGCCGCGCCGCCGGCCTCGGGTGCAGCCCCAGCCGCCGGGCGGGCGGGCTCGCGGCCCCGGGAGCGGCGGGCGGAGACGGCGGGGCCGGGCGCGCCATGCGGCGGCTGCTGCAGCGGCTGAGCCTGCCGCCTTCTCCCCCCCGCAGGCCAAGATCGCCGGCATGATGGAGGGGAACCAGCAGCTGGCGCTGCGCATCGACGGAGCGCTCCAGGCGGCCGGGCAGGAGGTGAGCGCCCTGCGAGCCGAGCTGGGCGCCGCCAGCCGCAGACTGGCCGAGCTCAGCGCCGACGGCCCCCCCGGCGCCGCCGAGATGGCCGCGGGCGGAGGCGGCCCGGACCCCGCGCAGCCCAGCCTGCAAGGTAAGCGCCGGCCGGCGGCCCTCCGGAGGGGACGGGACGGGACGGGACGGGGCAGGGCGGGGGGTTGCTCTGCGCGCGGCGCCTCCCGGAGAGGCTGTCCGGCGGGCTCCCATCTCTGCGCCGCGCTCTCGGGAGGCGGTCCGGGGCTGCCCTGGACCCGCCGCTCGCTGGCCGAGCCTGAATCCGGCCGGGGGCTCCGCTGGCGGACTGCTGGGCCCAGCGCTCTTCCGGCCGCCCGCTGGGGGACTGCTCTGCCTGTGGTCCCGGGCGGAGCCGGGGAAGCGCTGCCTGCCTGCCTGCCTGCCTGCCTCCTTCCTGGCTCGCGGCTCTTCCCCGCTGACCGGCCCGTGGGCCGAGAGAGGCGGCGGCGTGGGGGGGGGGGCGCGCTGGCTCCGCCGGACTGGTTGGCGAGACCCCGCCGGGGCCGCTGCTGGAGCTCGGCTGTGCCGGCAGAGCGGCCGGGGCTCCGGGCGGGCAGGTCGGGCGTGCGGGGGGCTGCATCGGAGCGGCCTTAAAGGCCGTGGGGGGGGGCTCTTCGGAGGGAGAGCTAGGAGCCCCCGAGGGGGGGGCGGGAATTGTGCAGAGAAGGGTTGGAGAGATGACGTCATGGGGCGCGAGGCTCTCGGTGGAAGCGGCGGCGGCAGCAGCATCGGGCTACTTGCTGCCCCCCTCCCCAAATGCCAGTGCGGTGACAGTGACCAGCATGCAAAGGAGCTGCTGGGGAAGCGGTGGGAGGTGAGGGATCCCCCCCCCCGCCGCCGCCCAGGAATCGGGAGGACCTGCCCGTTGAATTGTGTGGCGTCCTTGCTTGGAACCGAATTCAACGATATGTTGTCCCTCCGTTGTTTATCTTTCTAGTAACAAGTCTGAATCTGCTTAGGAAATCGCATCTTCCTGGGATTTGTGGCGGGGGGGCGGCGAGGGGGACTTGGCAGATGGAGCCATGAAGCCGCCTCTGCTGGGGCTTCTGGGGAAAGCGTTTTGTTCGCAGGCAGCCTTGTGAAAATGTGTGTGGGAGAGTGATTTGTGCCCACGGCAGGCAAACGTTAACCAAGGAAATGGTTGTGGAGCTAAGGGAAGGGGGGAAGATGGGGGGAAGAGGCTGAGCCCCACTGGCACAAGATGGGGGCTGGGGAGCCACCGGAGCAGCCTCCTCGGGAGAACCGGCTCTCTGCTGGGGGGGGACTCCCCAGCGCAGCTGAACGGGGCTTGGGGGGGGCAACCTGGAGGCCGGCATTCCCAGTCCTTCGTGAGGTCTCCTCTGTGACCTGCAACTGGCGCCTGTGGGAGGGAGGTGGTGGGGCAGGCCAGGAGTGGCCTTCAGGGGCTCCAGTTCCTCCACTGAGCCTGTGGGGCACAGCTGGCTGGAAGGGGGGGTCATCAGGCCCTGGAAGGGGGGGGTCTTTGCAGGTCCAGCCCTGCAGGGCTCTTGGACCTTCCCCCAGGGATTACCAGCGATCTTGGAGGGAAAGAGCCTGATGCCACCTTTGCCAAAATGGGCACCCGTCTCTTCCTGTTCCGAGCCCTATGAAAGGTGGCTAGAGGGGGCTTTGCCACCAGGAAGCCCCCTCCCCATTGACCTCCATCATTTGCTGCAGAAAAGGCTGTTAGCACTTTAGTACTGATTCGCTCTCGGCTCTTTTTAATCTTTTTTTAATTGTCTGTTAGGAAGCAGATAGGCTGCCTTCCGAGGGAGGGGCGCTCACATTTTCCCACCGCTTTTCTAAAGGGAAAAGAGAGTCATGTGCCCCCCCCAAGGCAGAGACGCCTGGTCAAAGGTCGAGGCTGGAAAGGGGTCCAGGCTGGGTTTCAGGCCCCCTTGGGAGTTACGTGCAAGACCTACACGTTGCTGAATCTTAGTTGCCTCTTAGTTTGGGGGCCAGAACTGACCAGCTCACTCTTCTAGCCCTGCGAGGTAGGACGGGCTCCCTTATCCTACTCTTCCAACTCTGCTTTTTTCTCGCATGTTTCCATTCGGAGTAAGCAAAGCAAGGAAGCAGTTTTGTCAACCTCTTTCCAGGGAGAAGGGCAGTTTTGGGGGGTGGGTGGGGGGGTTTGGCTCTCGTGAATAATCAGGTGGCCAAGAATATCCTGCCAGTCGGCACCACCACCACCACCATCCGCCCGGAATCGCACCCTTCCCTTCCGCTGGATCCAAAGGGAAGCTGCGCTCTGCCCGCTCAGAAGCCTCTTCCTCCGCTCGAGCCTCAGCGACGGAGGGGACGTATCCTGCCCCTGAAGAAGTTTCTGCTGTTCAGGGAAGGAGGCTGGGAGGGGCAGGGGTCTCCTGGCTCCCTCCCCCTCCCTGGGCCCCAGGAATACGCCTTCCCTGGCCGGGGGTGCCCTGGGTCCCTTCTTGCCTTTCCTTGGTGAGCCAGGTTTCCCTGGTCGGTGGCTGGCATGGGCACCCCGGGGCAGCCCGACTTCAGGTCCTGTGCCGAGCTGCCGTTCGGCTTGTGAGGAGTGGGCTCAGCCTGCTGTGTGACTCTGGCCTGGGCGCCAGGGCCTCTGCCAGCCCCTGAAGGGAAGCGCCTGTCAGCTGCAAAAAAAGGTTCTTTCCCATAGATTTGAGTCTGCAGAGTTGCTGTTTGCCCCAAAAGCTGGGGACAGGCTGGGCGTTGAACTGCAGCTGGGGCCCAGTGGTTGGGGGGTCTCTGGCGGCTGCACAGAGGCTCTTTCAAGGCCGGTCGCCGCTGGTCTCAGGTGGCCCAGCTGAGCTCTTGACCACTCCTGGCTTGAGAGGTGAGCCTGCGTCAGCCGCAAGTGGCTGCCCTTTTCCCATAACGGCCACCTGGCGAAGTAGGTTGGGCTAAAAAAGAGGAAGTGGCCCAAGGTCACCACAAGGATTAGGAAATTCTAGTTGACCCAATGTTACTATCACGCAAGTGGTGTTCTCTTATTTTGTCACTCTCAGCACGGCTAGGATGTCTGTACCGCCCTTCCCATTTTATGGCTGCTCTTCGTATTGCGGCCAGATTATGGCTGCTTTGGGGCAGCTGGACCAGGAGAAACTGTTGCCGTGATTGGCTTTTTTTTTTGACCGGGGGGGGGGGAACGTCTTGGCGTTGGCATCTTGTGTCTCCGAGAGAGCTTGGCACTCTGGTGTAACGACTTCGCTAACAAGATATTTTGAAGGGGTAAACACAGCCTGTTAATTAAATTTGCAGGCCAAGTGATTAAATTGGAAGCGGTTGTAAATATGGGGAGGGGAGGTTCAGCCGCAGGGACGGGTCAGCCTCGCAAGGGGCGTCTGTCAGTCAGGGCAGGGAGTCTCATGGCGGTTGATCCTGCAAATTCCTTCTTTGCCCAGACGGGAATCGCTCACTGGGGGATGATGGGATCTGTAGTCTATGTTTGCATTGAGATATTTGGGGTGTGTGTGTGATGCATTAGTACAGGACTGAGCGGTTCCCCTGGGACAGCCCTTGGTTTCAGCTTCTTTTTGCTGCTCCTGGCTTGATTCACGGGCCAGCCTGCATTTGCTTCTTAATGCTGGTCTGGCTGCCTTGAAAAACCACCCTGCAGAGTCCTTTTCTTCCAGAAGAGAAAACATCTGTGTATCAAAATGTAAAAAAGCTAATAGCAATTTTTGTTCTAATCTAAAACTGCTCCTCTTTGAACCGCTTCCCTTTTGTGAAGGGTAATAGAAACCTGGCACGCCAGCCTGTAATTAACCGGGTGTGTGTGTGTTCTCTCTCTTAAGCAGAGGAAGCGTTTATGTCTTCTGAGGAGACACCCCACTAAAAGGGAAGGGTGCGCGGAAAAGATACCACCCAGTGATTTATTTCCTGTGAGGAGGCTGAACTAAAATCACCAACGTTGGATTTGAAAAAGAAATGGGTGGGGGGGGAAGGCGTGGAAAAAAAGACACATTTTGTATTTAGCTCCATTCAGTTGCTAAATCTGACAGATTTCCTTTGGGATGTGCTGAATCTCCTCTCCTCTTTTTCTCATAAAAATCCTCCACCCCCACTTGAGGAAGGGGCTTCTCGTCCTGAAGCCTCATTCTGGGGGGATTCCAGTAAAGATCCTTCTCAGCAACGGTGGGTTCCTTTTGAGAGGGGGGAAGCAAATCCTTTTGCTTTAGGCAGCGGCTACGTATGGCAGAGGCGGAAATGACTCCCATAGGTGGGTCAGGCTAGGCTTTTGGGGGGGAGGGGGCTGCAGGAAGTGGGATTCCTAGCCCCCTCCCTTTGCCTCTTCAGTCCCAGGAGGAGCAGTGATCAGACGGGACGGGAGACTTGAGATCCGAAAAGGTCCGGACATTTGGCCTTGGGATCAGAAAAGCCCCTCCTTCCTGCTCACTCTGGCCTCTTGTCCGGGTACCGAGTCTCGCACCGTGGACATTGGGCAGGGAGGGTGCTCCAGTTGGCAAGGGCGCTGTGGGGGGGGCAGCTGGCTGGGGCAGCTCTTCGTGCTTTTCCCAGCCAGGCCGAAGCACGTGGGACCCTTGGGGAGGAGGCATCCAGGTCATGGAAACTTGCAAGGAGGACGTGGACGTCCTTGATCCGTGGCCAGAAGCTGGGAACTGAGCCAGCCCTGTTTGTGCCTCAGGACGTGGCTGGCCCACGGCAGCCATGGGGGGGGGCTTCCTGTTGCAGCTGCCCCGGAGCTGCGGCCGTCGGTTCCAGAGGCCTGAGGGGTCTGTGGGTGGTAGTGACCGAGGGGGGAGCAGAGGAAGGAAGCCCCCCTCAGGGACTTAACCTTCCTGGGCCTTTCCAAGACCACCTTCAGAGGGTCCCTCCGTGCCCAGCCCAGAATGAAGTCGGGGGGAGAGATCAGCCTTTTCAGATCCCCACTTGGACCAACCCGGCCATCGTGTGGATCTGGGATCTGAACCCAAAACGGCTGCACACAACCTTGAGATCCTGGCAAAAGTGCAGTATAATTTCAAAGTTAACAAACAGCGTCTGGTGCAAAGTCGCTCTTTGGATTGGGCAGGAGTTGTATTAAACCCGCCTTGAATAAAAGTTTTGCATAATATTTATCCACCTATATAA